GTGCTGCTGACTTACTTTTTCTGGTGCTCTGCCGTCAGGACCAGAGGGCAACCCGCAGTGTGCAGTGAGGACTGGGACAGAGGAGGGGGTGAGGACAGCCGTGGGGGATCTTGGGAAGTCAGGCTGAGCCCACTGGGGGGCTTGTCCACTCCTCCCATACCAGCTGCTCTTCCCAATGGTAATACGGAGACATCCGAACTCCCTCTTCCAAGCATCCTAACATGTCAAAGAGAGAGGAAAATCAGGACTTCCCTTTTTTCTATGTTTGTTTGTTTACTCCATGAGTGAGAGAGACAGCAGCCCAGACAAGGTCTTCAGGCCATGCTCCACCCTCAGCTTCAGCCAGCCCGGACCCTGGGCACACACGTGCCCAGATTACTCAGGGCAGTCTCCGGAAGCAAATACGAGTCAGCTGTGCAGTCAGGCTCTGCTGCTGTGCCACTGCTCAGCCCCATTAAGAAAGTCAGAGCTTTCTTAATTCTGCTTCCATCTACGCCCCATCTGGATCACTCCAAGTCTACATGCGCTTTGCGGAGGAGTCAGCGGTAGGCACCGAAGCACAGCTTTGAGATCTCTCGAACTCCAACGTGCCTGCACGACTCAGGCACCAACTACTGTGAGTACTGACTCTCAAAGCCAAACTGACTCTCAAAGCCAAACTCCATGGCAGAACTGAGGGGAAATTTGACTCATCCAGATTAAAGAACCACTATGATCAAAGGGGCAGAGGAAAGTTTTGGACTGCCAGTAGAGAGGTACTTTTTACACTTTTCAAATGACTGGCTGGGTCAGCAGACTGCTGGCAACTCTTGGAAATGCCCATTCTTCAACACAAAATCACGACCTGCTTGCTATGAAGCCACACCCCCTCGTGGAGTCTCTTCGGACGTACAGAGGCATGCTGTCTGATGGCTATACACGAGGAGGCAACTTCACTCACCTGTTCCAACCAACAGAGGCCTCTGCCCTCCTGCTGTCACCAGCTGCCAGTGCGGAAGGACCCAGGAACGCAGGACGATGGGGCTCTTCCTTGTCCTTGCGCACGGTGGTAGCAGACAAGCCTCGCCCTAAAATGCCTCTACCTGAAAGAAAGAACCAAGCCCCGGCTGTAACTGTGAGCTGAACGTGTTGTAAAGTCCAGAGACTTTTCTTAAGACAAATTGTATGCAGTTAAGAAAAAAACTCACACACGCCATAATTAGTTTTCCACGTACCTAATGGAGGACCTTCCCATTTCAGAGGGGTCCGAGGCACCGTTTCAAGCCCCATGCCTCGGAACATGGAGACCAAACCCACAGATTCCTGTGTAAAGTCAAAGGATAAAGTTTTTCTAAGATGTTGTTTTACACCCCCAAAATGATGGTTTTCTTTTAAGTCTTGGTAAATAATAAAGATCATTTTCTTTAGATTCTATAAATGTTAAAGAATAAGGGACAAAAATAATTTATAAAATAACTAAAACATTTGCAACTATGTTATAGCAGGTTTTACTTTTTTTTTTTTTTTTTCAAAGTAGGATTTTAAACACAGTTACAGACAAAGGACCATGGCCCAGCTGTGGTGGCACACAGCACCACTGCCTGGAAGGCTGGAGGCTACGTGGGAGGCCTGGGTTTGGTTCCCTAGCCAACCTCAACACCCCAGGCATGGTTGTTCCTGCTGTAACTCTAGCTAATGGGGAGGCTGCAGCAGGAAATAACAACACAGTGAAACTCTGGGGAAAAAAAAAAAAAACACCTATTCTGGGGCCAGCTATGGTGTGGTGGTGAAGGCACTAGACTCCCATATGGCCAACTATAGTTCAAATCCCGAACCCGGCAGCTTGCTCTCACTTTCTCTCTCTCATGCACTTGCACACACATCCTACAGCAAAATAAATAAATAAATAAATAAATAACAACGAATAAAATTTTTAAAATAATTCTTTTTAAAATATCCATTTTTATGTCTTTCCTCTCTCTCTTATAAAGAAAAAAGGTTCACGATTTGATGTCCACTATAACAAGATGCAACAAACAGATTTTCCACTTTCCTAGTGTTCTCTAAAGAATTATTTAACTTTATCATTATTATTTTTTAATTTGCTATAGGACATACAGGCTCATCAGAGAAAGTGAGAAAGCAAGCTGCCAGGTTTGGAACTCAAACCATGGTTAGGAGTCTGGAGCCTTAACCACCATACCACAGCATCTCCCACTACTTTTCTTTTTTTCTTTTTTTCTTTCTTTCTTTCTTTTTTTTTTTTTTTCTCCTGTATACTCAAGGCTAGGGGAAACAATTGGGCTTGTTATTAAAATTTCAAAAAAGTTAGATCCAGCAGTTGGCATCATGGCTATGTCACTGGACTCTGAATGTAGTCGACTGCAGTTCAAGTCCTGGACCCGGTGGCTTAAATTCATGCTGGGCACGTGTGCGTGTGTGCCCAAGATCCCGAGAGGAGAATGCAGGAGAAAGGACTGCAGTGTGGCCATCCCCCCGGGAGATGATTTCTTGCTTCCTATCTCTTGTCTCTGTCTTTCCGGCGAGCGCACGCACCCTATTACAAAAACCTCTCCCCAAAAAGTAAATAAATAAATTTCAAAAAAGCTAGATCACTTAAGAGTATCAATGTTTTGGGTTTGTTTAAATTTGTTATAGGGCAGGGCATGTATGTTAGCCAGAGAGAGGCTGAGAAACAGAGAAAAAGGAAGAAAGCACCCTCATAGGGGATGACCACACTGCAATCCTTTCTCCATTCTCCTCTCAGGATTTATCTGGACATACGTGCCCACATGCCCAGCATGTTTTCCAAGTCACTAGGTCTGGGACTCGAACCATATAGTTGGTCATATGGGATCCACCATATGACCTTAATCACCATGCCAACTGGCTGACTCTATCTGTGTATTTTTAACAACACTCACTAGAACTTGCTACTAATTTTCTATAGCAGTTTTGAAGGTTACTACTGTTTTACCAGTTAGAGCTGCCACATGATTCAAAACCAAGGTAAGACTGGCCCCATAGCCTAGCAGTTAAGGGAGCCAGTTCTCACATGACCAACCGTGGTTTGAGTCCCAGCCCTGGCAGCCTGAGGACCATGCCAGGCATAGGCACCTGTGCAAAAATCCCAATGGGGAAAAAGGGATTGCAGCATGACCACGCCCAGCTGGGGGGTGCCCCCTAAACCACCTCCATCTCTCCATCTCTCTCTGGAAAGTGATCACATCCTCTGGTCGTTAAAACAAACAAAGCCACAGACTCAAGCAAGTCATCTGAGTAAACACAGTGTTTTTCTTTTTGTGAAACATTACATTTTATACTGTCAACACTACTTAAAATTATGAACTTTATCATTAGGTTCCTCCTACATTCGCTGATTCTGACATACATTATAGACGTACTGTTCTTTTTTGGAGGGGAGAGAGGTTTTTGTTATAGGGTGTGTGTGCTCGCCAGAAAGAGAGAGAGACAGAGAGAGACAAAGTGAGAAATCGCCCCCCATCGGGGATGGCCATGCCGTAATCCCTTCTCTTCCACTCTCCTCTCGGGATCTTGGGTACACACACACACGCGCCTGGCGTGAGTTTAAGCCACCGGGTCCAGGACTCGAACCATGGTTGACTACATGGGAGTCCAGTGGCATAGCCATTATGCTAACTGCTGGTCCCTTGACAATACTGTTCTTAAAATATGTAATTAGGAGACGAATAATGCACACACAGGGGACCGGCTGGTGATGTGATGGTTAAGGCAGCTGGATTCCACATAGCCAAGTACACGTTTTGAATCCCAGGCCCAGTAACTTGAAAAACATACCAGGTGCATGTGCATGTGTGCCTAAACTCTGGAAAGGAGGGAGACCAGGAGGAGATGGGATTGCAGAGTGACCATATCCTACGAAGGGTGCTTTCTCACTTTCTCTCCCGCCTCTGTCTCTCTCTGGCAAGCACATACCCTCAGCAAATTAAATAAATAAATAAATAAATAAATAAATAAATAAACAAACAAACTTAGCTGTAAGTGTTCATACAGCAGTAGCAATAGCTGAAGATCCTTTATCTTTACAATTTGGGCAAAAAGCCTTCCAGAAGGAACAAATCCAACAATTACTACATCACAGGCAGTAGTTGCTGCTAAAAGCACAGAGCCAAACCCAGGGTGAAAATCTACACATTCAGATGACAGTAAGAATCTTTTTTCTTTTTAATTATATTATCATTTATTCAATATATTTATTATTCTTCAATTTGACCAGAAAGAGACAGAGAGGGAGAGAGGACATGTGAGAAAGCAAGCCACCAGGTCTAGGACTTGAACCGTGGTCAGCCATGTGGGAGTCCAGCACCCCAACTACCACGCCACCTGCTGGCCCCAGAACTTAATCTTTAAACCTGTCAATTACTGATACTATGGACGGGTAGATGGACAGATGGACTGAAGTTAGAGGACATACCGCACTTACTCGAGCCTACTGTTCAACTCGAGACCCTTGTTCTACACTTGCAACTCTAGGATTCGAAATGCATGACCAAAAGACACAACCGCAGGCTGAAGAGGAAGAGCCCGTGTCTGCAGAGGGCTTCCCAGTTTTCCAAGCACCACGAGACCCGCTACTTCCTCTGATCCCACAGGTAAGTTAGATGCTACAACTGCACGAGCAGACATGGCTCACCCTCGGTGCTGACCCACTCTGTGTGCCTGGTTGTTCTGGCTTTCCATACACATGGCCTCTGCCTGCAGGTCCTGCCCTGCCCAGAGCTGAGTCCAAAGGTTTAGGAGCTTGTGACCAAGAGCCAGGCGTCCGTACACACTGCGACGGGTGGACAGGAGAAGGGCCCCTGAATGGTAGTCGGACGGGATCCATCGAAGGGCTGCAGAAGACACAGGTGTCGTTCTTGCTCTTGTTACTACCTGTAGAATTTTAAAAGATGAACAATTCTCATTTTTTTAAAAAGAATATTATTTTATTTAACTTTATTTATTTATTCATTTCAATTTGACCAGAGAAGGGGGGAGGAATGAGTGAGAAAGCAAGCTGCCAGGTCTAAGATTCGAACCATGGTTGGCCATGCGGAAGTCCAGTGCCCTTAACCACCACGCCCCCTGCCAGCCCCTCATCTTTCTTTTTCAAAGTGGCACAGACTTAGAAAGCTTTAAGAAAATAGTTATTTTGACTCAGGCCAGAGATACAACAGCCTTCTATAAATCACTTCCAAAGTTTCTATTTGAACCCAGAACATTCTAAACACCTGACATGAGCAATCTCTTAGAGCCCCAAGCCCTCCTTGAACCTACTTATATTTTCTATCCAAATACCCTGTCAGAGAACTCAGTTCTTCAGTTAACTGTAGTAGAAGGAAGTGATTTTGACATATGGGAATGATTTTTGAATAACAAGAACTTGATACACCAAAGTCATTAATAATGTATACCCAGGGGGAAGCAGCAGTTAGCGTAATGGCTGTGTCGCTGGACTCCCACGTAGTCGACTGTGGTTTGTGTCCCGGACCCGGTGGCTTAAAACTCACGCCGGGCGCGTGTGCGTGCGTGCCCAAGATCCCGAGAGGAGAACGGAGGAGAGGGGATTGTGGCGTGACCATCCCCCCTGGGGGGTGATTTCTCGCTTTCTGTCTCTATGTCTCTCTCTGTCTGTCTGGCGAGCGCACGCGCCCTATAGTGAAAATCTCTCCAAAAAAAAAAAAATGTATACACAGGTATTAAACATACACAGGTATTAAATATACAACATAACTATATCACCATATTCTGTCAGTAAATAGTAACAGGGCTTTTTTCTTTTCCTTTTTTTTTTTTTTTTAATTCAATGTTCTTTTTCTATCCATTCTTTCCTATAAAACTCTTTCAGGCCAGCTCCATAGCCTGGTGGTTATGGGAAGCTGGATCTCGCATGATCAATTGTGGTTTGAGTCCCGGCCCCAATGGCTGGAAGAACACCCTGGGTACCTGTGCAAGTGTGCCCCAAATACCCACAGGATGGGAAGGTGGAAAAGAGGTTGTGAGGGTATTGGTGTTTTTTTCTTCTGCCTCTCTCTGTCTCTAAGATCTCTCTGGCCAGCACAAGCATTCTCTGGCTTATAAACAACAAATTAATTTTAAAAATAAAGACTGACAGGGAACCAGCAGTTAGCGTAATGGCTATGTCACTGGACTCCCACGTAGTCGACTGCGGTTCGTGTCCCGGACCCAGTGGCTTAAAACTCACGCCGGGCGCGTGTGCGTGCGTGCCCAAGATCCCGAGAGGAGAATGGAGGAGAAGGGATTGCGGCGTGTCCATCCCCCCTGGGGGGTGATTTCTCGCTTTCTGTCTCTATGTCTCTCTCTGTCTGTCTGGCGAGCGCACGCGCCCTACAGTGAAAATCTCTCAAAAAAAAAAATAAATAAAATAAAGACTGACATACCATAAGGAAGGAGTAGTACAGGTGGAACTTGCAAAGACTCTTGAATCACTTGCTTCTACATTATAAAAGCAGAATAGGCTCCTTTTCTCAAAGGCTGTAATAGCTCTCCCCTCTAATTGCTATTATAAAAATCATGTTTCAGTTAGCTGCTCACATCTCCTGACTACAAGTATTCTGGAATTTGGGGGACCACCAGGTGGCCTCATGGTTAGGTTGCTGGACTCGCACATGGTCAATGGCAGTTCGGGTCCTGGAACCGCTGTCTTGAAAATCAGGCCAGGTGCGCCTACGTGCCCAAGATCCTGGGAAGAGAATAAAAGGGATTGCATGGCCAAGAGGGGGGTGGGGGGCAGGCATTTCTCACTTCCCCTCTCACCGTATTTGTCTTTCTCTCTCCGGAACGGTACACGCCCTAAGGCAAAAACCTCTTTAAAAAAAAATTCTGGAATGTTCCACCCCTCCCCCCACCAGTGCTCCCATAGCTTCAGGCACCTCCAGGGCTCTTTATCATCAGGATTCCCTCGTTCGACTGTGAGTAGTTACATGGCGGACCAGAAGGGACAACAAGGCGGGAGGGCGGGGAGGCCTACCGGGCTCCAAGCAGGCGCTGGCGGGCTGGTCCTAACTAGTTCCTCCAAAACCCCCCACCCATGAGCCCCTCTGGCCCTCGCCCTCGGCCACAACTCCGGTCCTCTCCAGGCCGGCGTCCCTGCGCACTCCAGCCTCGCGTAACGACTTTCGGC